TTCAAGGCCTGGTACCAGGGTGGAGGCCCACCTTCAGGGCCTAGCACAGGACTGGAAGCCTCCTCCTGATCGGCCCCTCTGGCCCCTGGCCTTACTACAGTCCCTGGGAGCTGCAGGAATCGCTGCATCTGGCATCAGGTCCAGCTCCAGGAAAGTACTGAGCTGGGACTGCTTCTCACTGCCCACTGCCACCAGAAGGCCCCGCCCTGAAACTCAGTAACCGGACACTGGCCTCCTAGGAGGATCTGGTTTCCTCTTCTGTGCTCAGAAGCAAAGCCACAGAAGCCACAGGAGGCTAGGGAGAGGGACTGAACCCACCCCCCAGGCTCGGGGAGAAGTTCAAGGGAAGAGGTTTGTTGTTGTTTTGTTTTATTTTATTTTATTTTATTTTATTTTATTTTATGTTTTTTTTGTTTTTCACTCCAAATTTCATATCCATAATGAGTCCTAAATTTTCTCAGAATTGTGTTTCCTCTTCCCTAGAAATCTCATACAGTCCCCCCACCCACCCCCCACTCCCCACCCCCACTCATTCTGGCCCAACCTCTTGGTCCTCATCAGTCCTTCCAAAGCCAGTTTGTGGGGTTAGTCTTAGCTGTCAGTTTGTAGGATATAGAATCATCTAAAAAACAAACCTGTAGGCTGGCCCGCGAGGGTGTATTTAGGCTGGTCTAACGGAGGTGGGAAGACCCACCATAAGTGTGGGTAGCAGCATCCAATGAGCTGGGCAGCCCGACTGAATAAAAAGGAGAAAGTGGAGCCTATAGAGATGACTCAATGGTAGAGTTCCGGCTGGTTTTCCAGAGGACCATGGTTCAGTTCTCAGCACCCACATGGCAGCTCACAACTGTCTATAACTAATTCCAGGGGATCAGACATCCTCTTCTGACCTCTGTAAGCACAGGCTCAATGCAGTGCACAGACATGCATGTAAGTAAATCACCCATGCACATAAAGTAAAAATAATATTTTTGTTTTTTTAGTTTTTCGAGACAGGGTTTCTCTGTGAAGCCCTGGTTGTCCTGGAACTCACTCTGTAGACCAGGCTGGCCTCGAACTCAGAAATCCACCTGCCTCTGCCTCCCATGTGCTGGGATTAAAGGCGTGTGCCACCACCGCCTGGCAAAATAATAAATTTTAAAAAAGGATTATAGCAGACTTAAAGAGAGAGAGAGAGACAGAGAGAGACAGAGAAAGACAGAGAGAGAGAGACAGAGAGAGAGAGAGAGAGAGGGAGAGAGAGAGAGAGAGAGGAGAGAGCATGAAGCCCCATCCTCCTGGCTTCATAACTGAGGATGACATGGTCCCAGCTACCTCAAACTCATATTTCCCTGCCATAATGGATATCCTCAAACTAGGAGCCAAAATAAACCCTTGCTTAAATTGCTTCTGTCAGATATTTGATCAGACAATAGAAAAGTAAGCCCTTAAGTCCCCTTTGCCCCCCACTAAACATTTTCTACTTAGCACCTCTTTGCATCTGAGAATTTTTTACATGACTCCATGTTTACAGGTATATAAAACAGGTATACATAGCAAGCATTTACTGGTAATAAATCAAAAAGAAATTTATTTTAAAACAATTCTTTGGGGCTGGAGAAATGACTCAGCAATTAAGAGTGTTAGAATAAAAGACTTAGTTTAAGTCAGGCGGTGGTGGCGCACACCTTTAATCTCATCCTAGCATTCAGGAGGCAGAGGCAGGTGTGCCCCTCCGAGTTCGATGCCAGCCTAGTCTACAGAAAGAGCTCCAGGATAACCAGGGCTGCACAGAGAAACCCTGTCTCAAAAAAGCAAAAGACTAGTTCAGTGAGAGACTGTTCTTCAAAGGAACAAGGCAGACAGTGACCAAAAAGGATATCTTCCTGTAGTCTGATGGCATGCCCACCTGCTCATACATGCACATACGCTATACACATACACTTCACACACATATGCACACTCACACATGCACATAAAAATAATAAAAAGTTACCAAAAACATTTATTTAGTACACATATAATTTTACCACTCAGGACTAAAGCTAATTTGCGTAGTTATATGATAGAAGTGTTTGTGTAACACTATAACCTAAAGGTATACTAATCTGATACATGCTGAGGAATGACAGTAGGACAACATTAAGTCTTTATTTCTGTAATTAAACCATTGTGTTTCCCTAAGAGCAGACAAGTTTGTATGTACAGTTGAAAGTGCAGCAGTTCATAGCATGTCAGTCTCCAGGGATAATCTCTGGTGTGCACCAAAGTGTGTCAGTGTTTGGTGTGATGGAATCACAGTTGTGAAGTGTTATGCAGTTAGACTCACAGTAGCAGTAAAGTCACTGTATGCAGTGTAAGTCGGAAATCTGAGTTCTATTGTGTGTTTGGTTTTCATTAATTTTTCACTTTTGTGTGTTCGGTATCCTTTAGTGTTGCCAACCTTTTTGTGAATACTGGATTCAGTTAACAGACCCCATTGGGACCCACAGTTTAAGCAGCTTAGACTTAGGCCATCCCCATGCCCAGCCAGTCAGCTCTTGACATCTCCTTCCCTTGTCTCTTGCTCAATCCAGATCACTTTCAGTCTTGTCAGTCCTGCCTGAGATCCTTCCGACATACAAATCTAGCACCTGCTTAGAGCCCTCGTTCATTCTAGTGACATGCAGTGATTCTAGCCACTCTGTGCTGACATCAGGAGAACCTACACTTTCCTTAGTCCTCTGGGATGTAGGAAATAGAAATGAAATGTTTGTTTGTTTGTTTATAGCCTTGGCTGTCCCAGAACTCGCTATGTAGACCAGGCTGGTTTTGAACTCAAAAAAGTCTGTCTGCCTCTTCCTCCGAGTTCTGGGATTAAAGGTGAGCACCACCACACCCAGCTGTACATCTTTAATACCAATGGAGTTTTTATTAAATGTTATAGAGAATCAGCACAGACCCCATCTCCTTTGACTCAGGTGTACTCTTCCCAGTCGAGGCCTGCCAGCCCTAGGGGTTGTGAATTCTGGACAGGCTCACAGCCTAACATTTGTCTAAGATCAAAGTATGTGCCCGCAGCTGCATCCTGTTCTCAAAAGTTGCACTTTGTTTATCAGTGGCACGGCCTTTAAGAGTTTGTTGCTGTTCTCAGCGGATTGAGCATCTGAGGCCTAGCACTAACCACACAGTGTGATGAACAGCGTTGTCACCCTGTGTTAGTAATAAAAACCCAGTGGGAGAGAAGAAGGAAGAGGGGTGAGGGGATTGGGGGTTCCGGGGTGGGTGGGGGATGGGGTAAGGGGACAACATAGGAAATGTAAATAAAACATCCAATAAAAAAAAAAGAAAAAAAACCCAGTGGGACTCCCACTAGGTGCACCTGCCTGCTTGAATCACCCTTCTGCATAAGTACATTTGCTTGTCCCTTGTGCTTTGGATTGTGTGGTCATTTCCCCGAGACCCCAGACCCATTTCTAACATGTGAGTACCTTCCTCCCTGAAATGGAACATGTCTTGCACTCCCCCTCCTGACCCTTGAATTGTCAGGGCTTCATTTTTGCTCCTAGTTAGAGCAATCGGTTGGCTCCTGTTCAGTAAGTACTCTGTTACGTGACTAGCAGGTTCACAGGCCTTTAATAAATGTGCTATTGAATTTATGAACAAATAAATAAATGAGTCAAAGGTAAGAGACCGAGCCATAACCAAATCAAGTAGAGCTGAATCATAGGGCAATGTGTGTGTGTGTGTGTGTGTGTGTTGGGGGTGGCGGTGTTGAGGGACAGGAGTGAGAATGAGGTGGAAGATGGAGAAATGACTTTGCAGGAGGAGCCAGTTTCTCAGTCTGCTGAGGAGGGCTCCTCCAGTCCAGAAGGGCCGGCTTCCTGGAGTGGACCATACTCAAACTCCAGTTCACCAATTCAGACCTCTCCCCTACGGAAGTGGGTTTGGGGTTTTGTTTTGGTTTCACTTTGAGCCAACAGCAGCGAATAAAAGGCTGCAGAGAGTAGATACATCATCTCAGCTGTCTCTTAAGAACCCCGCTTGGCTGGCCCCACCCCCACCAGCCTCGGGTTTCTCCCTCGCCTCCCGGCTCCCCCTCCCCGCACCCCCTTCCCCCAGTAGATAATGGAGAAGTGGCCCCGCGGCGGGATCCCCGCAGAGCGCGCAGGGCGGGTCCAGGTTGGCTGGGCCGCAGCCTCGGGGGCGCTGTCCATGGTGCCTGCGCGCCAGCCGCACCCGGCCGGCCGACGCTCGCTAGCTCACCGCTTGTAGTCGGAGGAGAAGATACCCCCGCTCGCCGGGTCGTGGCCATATTCCGGCTCCCCGGGGCCGGCTGAGCCGCCCTTATCTTCGCTGTAGGCGGGAGCGGCCGACATGGATCTACGCTGAGGGGTGGCTGAGCGGCCGGGTTGGGCTTGGGCCGAGGAAGGGGATGCACGCCTAGCTCTGCAGAGCTGCAATCTGTGCGGCGGAGGCAGGGCGCAGATTCAGCAATCAGAGCCGATCCCAAGGGTTCTTAAAGGGACCGGCACTACCCGCGGCGTGCTGGGTTGGGATGAGCGGACAGGGGATGGAGGAACAGCGCCTGTTCTGGCCCAGTCTCTCAGAACTCCCTGGCACCCGTGTCTCCACACTTAAAGCAACTGCAGGCATCTAAAGACCTCACAGTGAGCGAGGCTGCTGGGCTGATTTGGAGAGATGCGGACCTCCTGCCACCGCCCTCTCGATCACCTGACCTCCAGAGGCCCGCCCACCCATGCAGTGAAGGAGGGGACTTGGGTTGGGGGGGGACACTGAAAGAAGGCCTAACTCATAGGCATGAGTTGGAACATCCGCCTTGGAGATTTAGGGGTGGGTGCCTTTCCAACCTTTTTCACACAGTCTAAATCCCTCTAAGGATAACCTGCTTATTCACTGGTAAGCGTAGCAACTTCCTGGAAGAAGTGGAATTTAAGGGCAGGTTAACCCAGGAAGCAAGGGCATTCTGGGAGCAAAGCAGTCCCAGGTGGAGTTGAGAGAACCACTAATATCCTAATTATGTTTGGGAAAATACTTTAATGATCTTTTCTGAAGCCTCTTCTGGCCCATTCAGGAGGGCTCAAGGTCACATTAATTCCTGGCTAGGTTCCTGTCCATTGACATCTAGGAGGGAAGGGAAATGAAACAGATTAGGGTCTGGGGTAATTGCCAGGTCTCCAGGACTTTGTGATTTGTCAAGCTTAGCTCCCAAGACCCAAGGAAGGAAGGAAGGAAGGAAGGAAGGAAGGAAAGAAGGAAGGAAGGAAGGAGGGAGGGAAAGAAGGAAGAATGGTAGATAGGTCTGGATTAGAGAGAGTGCCCTGAACTAGGCTGATGTGTGAGTTGTATATCTTTGGGCTAGAGTTTTGGACATGGGGTTGAGTGATTGGGAACTTCTGGTGATGCTTAGAAAATGAAAGAATTCCCAAGGACTGAGTCTTGTTTTGTAGACTAGGATCCCCAGTTCTCTAAGATCAGAATTGGTGGACTGTTTGGAAAAGGGCAGAACTGAAAAAGGCAGACTTTGGGTCAATAGAAAGTTCTACTGCAGCCAGGCAGTGGTGGCGCAGGCCTTTAATCCCAGCGCTTGGGAGGCAGAGACAGGCGGATTTCTGAGTTCGAGGCCAGCCTGGTCTACAGAGTTCCAGGACAGCCAGGACTACACAGAGAAACCCTGTCTCGGAAAAAAAAAAAAAAAAAAAAAAAGAAAGTTCTACTGCAAAAAGAATGATGGAGTTGGACCAGCCCCTGGGTTGGAGATTGGTCATATTCAATAAATATATCTGTCCAGGATCTAAGAACAGGAGCTTGAGGTCTACCTGGCAATGATGGCTCAAAAAATGGTTTCAAAGGGTGTAACTTCAACAAATAGGAACTCCTATTTGTTTCTGGAGACTTTTAAACTGCCAGAGTAAAGAGCTTAAGATGAAAAGAATGTGGTCTGGGTGCAGTGGAGAGGGGAGTCATCTGAATTATTCTGGAGCAAGTTGGTTAGGTGTCTTTGTTAGCAGATTCGAGCTGGGATGGGATGTGTGCGGGTAGAAGAGAGGCACTTACTGAGTCCATGCCCAGCAGGTTCAGTGCAAAGTGCACGCAGTTGCTGCTAGTGGGGTGGTATGGAGGAGGGTCATTGTTCATAGCTTCTTGCACGCGGCTTTCCAGCACCCTACGGTCAACGCCACCGCGTCTGCGTAGCACACGCCAGAGCTGTCTGGAGCGCTGCAGAGCTTGGTGCCCCTGTTTACACACGACACCCTCACAGTAACCCAGAAACGTTTGTATTCCACTGTTGCTGGGGGTCCTGCCTGTGGGGATAGCAGGCCCAAAATCAGAGCAAAATCAGAGCAAATCAGAGCTAGCTTCGGTGCGACTCAGTAATTTGCCCCAGCGTTTCCTCAAATTGAAGCCCCACGCCCTGGTGCCCAACCCTCTCTCCCCATCTTCAGAGACCTACTCCTTCGTCCCAGTTTTTGTCCCAGCACAGCTTGCTCAGGAGTGGCCAAATTTCTTTTGCTCACCCTCAAAGTGTATGATCTCTCCGTGGCCGCAGTAAACACCCACGTGGGCCCCGCACCACTGTGCCTTAGGGGACCGCAATTTGAACAGGAACAGGTCTCCAGGCTCAGGCTCGCAGTTTTCTAACTCCACCTCCTGGAAGTGCTGACCCATGAAAGCCTCAGAGAAGAAGAACTGAACGGTGCTGGATGCCCCTACCAGGGTCTAAGGGAAGAAACGTGGCAGACTGCAGGGTGTGTGCACGGAAGTAGCTGGATCATTCCACTCACGCAGATGGTAGACCTGGCTTGGGGTTGGCCCTAGGCAAAAAGTCTTCGCTGTCTCCCCATCCTTAAGGGACTCCAGAGGCCTAGAAATCACGGATCTACACTGCCTTGAGCCACCCGCTTGGGACACCATAATGTCTCACAATTGGGACCTCCTCCCCACCCATAGTTACCCACTTATTCCCATGTCTTTCAGTCTCCCTCCCCCTGCTCTGATCTCCTTCCTCGTCAGTCGTCCATGTTGCCATTCCTACAAGCAACACCTTCTGGGTGTCAGGTGGTACCTGGGTTGAGAAGAAGGCCTGAAAAAAACAGGAAAAGTACAGTGAGAGATTGGACCGAGGCCAATCTCTCCCAAGTCCAATAACCTCAGTAGCAAACACGCATGTATTTGCTCCTTGTTATAATTCTCGAGATCAGTCGAATATTCTTATTTTCAGGAGGAAATTGAGGTACACCAACTCTAGCTAATCTGTGTGCACATGACCATCTGGGTCTTGTATAATAAATACCATTGCACTTTTTTCAATAATGAAATGAGAAATCCAGTTTAGTTTTCTGTCTTTACCGGGAACAGAGGGTGATTTCACTGGGTTATATCTAAGCTTTGGTTTCAGAGGTAGTGGGAGGAGATTGATGAGAGAGAGAGAAAGAGAGGGGGGGGGAGAGAGAGGAGGGATTGAAGGTAGGACCTACAAGGTCACTGCTTAAGGACATGGGAGCAACAAGTGACCACGACCCAGGGCTCTGGGAGTCTGTGTTCTTGTGCCCTTTGATCATGAGTCATCACCTAACACCCAGCAGATAGGGAGAGTGCTTCCCTTCCAGCTTCCCTCTCATCCCGTACCCACCAGTTAAGCAAGAGTCACAGCTATGGAAGAGGGTGGGCTGTCAGCTGAGACAGCTGCCACCTTGCCTGAGGAAGAGACAAGATGAGCCAAGGACTTCTGCTCCATTTACCTGGGATGTGAAGCTCATCTGGAGAGAGAGAGAGAGACCAGCCATTACCACCTGCTGCTTCACCTGTCCTCCCTGCTCTGGAGCCTCAAGTCTGCACTAGATGGCTGGTCACAGGTTGAGAGACCTATGCCACCTCTCCAGATGGGACATCAAAAAAGTTCTCCCTCTCTCCGTCTCTGTCTCTCCATCTCTCTGTGTCTCTGTCTCTCCCTCTCTCCCTCCTTCCCTTCTTCCCTCCCTCCTTCCCTCTCTCCCTCCTTCCCTCTCTCCCTCCCTCCCTCCCTCCCTCCTTCAGTTTCCTCATCTGTGAACTGGGAACAAAAAGGTTGGAGAGAAGGGCATCACCTGACCACTGTGAAGCTCTGAGCGCTCTTTGTGATTAATCAAGGCCGGAGGGCAGGGCTCGTTTATCTACGGTCTGGCTGGCTCCTAAACTTGTACGTTTGCCTGTGCGTGCACATTTGGGCACTAAGTGGAGGGCTGGGGAGAATACATCTTTCTCAGCTCAGAGGAGAAGAACAATGGGTCCCAAAGGCTGGTGGCCTCCCTGTGACCCCTGCCTCAGAGATCAGAGGGAAACAATCATTCAACTGGAAAGTCCAGACACTCCCTCATATTTTCCACTGGGGTTGTGGGTGCAGGCAGGGAGGCACTGTGGCAGCTGTACCTATGCCTTACACCTTCAAACAGGAATCCAGGTCCATGGCTGGTATTCCACCCGTAATAATAATAATGTGTATTGCCAAAAGCTGTATGAAGACCCCAATGAGGTCTAATAGCAATGTCTGTAGATTCTACTGTCTTTCTCATTTGGAAGAAGGAGGAAATGGGGCTCGGGGAGGTCAGTAAGATTACATCAAAAAAAGTTGTAAATCAGTATTCAAGAACTAAGGCAATCTGACTAAACCAGTGTATTGGACTTCCAATGCTGGAGTCTTTCTCAAAAGTCATATGGAAACTCCAGATCTCAACGCCCAGCACCAGGAAGTATTGACCCCTGTTTTCTTCCTTAAGAAAGAAGCATTTAGCATTTATTTAGTCATGTAGTAAAGAGAGAAAGAACAACAGCCTGGAGCCATCAGAGCATAAGAGACAAACATCCCATTTCCACTGCCCAGGGCCTGACGGCACTGTCCACCCTGTTGGGAATACTTGCTTGGAGATCTGAGCCTTTCCTTCTCTCACCCTGGCTATCAGAAACAGCAGTGGCAGAGGTGTTCTTGTGACTCGACCCCTTTGGGGTTGCTGCTTCCAGCCAGGCACCTACATCTAAAACAAGGTCAGAGAGGAGGTCTAACTTTTCTGACTGTCCTTCACCTTCTAGAGGCTTTGGTCACTGTGATCCTACCCTAATCTGAGCCCTTAACCCAAGCAGCTTACCTTGTAGTGACCACTTCAGTCCGTTGTGAGACGTCTGTCTTCTGTGGCCGGAAGAAAGAGGGCAAGTTGGCCATGGATCTGGGAGATAAAGGGGCTAACCAGGAAGCCCTGGGGCCAGATTCTGAGCATCAGCGCCCAAGCCAATCTGACTGAGGCAACTGCATTTTGGCTATGACAAAAGAAGCCAAAGCCTTGAGGGCTGGATCCAGGTAGGTAAATGGTGCCTCCGTCCCTTCCACCCACCTTCCAACGTCTGATATTTGATATGATGACTGCCTGTTTGTCCCAGCACCATTTCCTTGCCCTTCTCTGGCCTCCGGTACTCAACACTTCATCTACACCCAGTCGTTGTCAGGGGCTAGGAGCTATAGCCTCCAATCCCCATGAATTTATTGAAGTTTGCTTCATGGTCTGTTCTAGTGAACACGCTTCACGTTTTTGCAGATTCGGGTGTAGTGTTCTGCAAGTGTATGCCAAGTCAAGATTGTCGGCGATATTGTCCATGCTGCCTCATATTTACTTTGTTCTTTTTTATACAGTTTTCTGTTGGCTAAAAGGGATGGTAAGGCTTCCTGTTGTCTACAGTTGCAGAACTGCCTTCCTTTCATTCTGTTAGATTTTGCTCTGTGGAGCTTGAAACTCTTACTGCATGGAGAAGCGTTTTTATGGTTGTGGCATCTTTGGGTGACATTTATCGCTATGACTGTCCCCGTGTATCCCTGCTCATGTTTGAGTTGAAGACGCTACCTAACGTAATGCTTGCTTATCACTTCTGTGTCTTCTCATATGCTTTCCTTTTCCCTACTGACTTGGAGACTGCTTGTGTCTTTATGTTTATTTTTTTATTTTAAAATGGGGGTCTCACTTGTCGCCCAGGCTGCCCTCAGCTCTAGGCGCAAGTGATCTTCTCATTCAGGCTGTTGAGTGTCTGAGACCACAGATGCGCACCATGTGTCTGGCATTATGTCATTGTATTTAAAAAATACATTCATAATAGAATATAACTGAGTCTTCCTCTTCACTCTATAGGCATTTAATGCAGCAACTGATATGGTCAGACTTTGGTCTGCCATCTTCTGGATATGTGTGTGTGTTCTTTTCCTCTACCTTTCTTGTCTCCTTTTGGTATATTTGGTTATTTTTTACTAGTTCACTTTAGTATAGGCATGCTAACAGGCACCTGTAATCCCAACGCCCCAGGGCTGAAATAGGATGATTTGAAAGTTTGAGATTATCCCAGGCTACATAGTAAGTTCCAGACCAGCCTGGGTTATACAGGCTGAGTCATACAAGACCCTGACTCAAACATATCCCATTTTAATTATCTGCTGGTATTTAGCTCCAGTTCTTTGTCTTACATATGAACAGTCTCTTTAAAGATTACAATATAACTAGTTTCCAGGCTGGCCAGTTAGCATAATTGGTTAAAGCCTTGTGCTAATAATAACCACTTAACACAAGCTAATTAGAGACCTTGCAACTGCACATTCAGTGTAGAAACATCAATCAGTACTGTAGGTCTGGTACCTCCATCCGGTACCACCATCCCTGCCCATCCTTTATGTAATGTTTGTCACTACGCTATACAACCACAGGGCAATTTTATAAATTTTGCTTTAAACCACTGTATATTTTAAGAGATAAGAAAGATGCCCCTTATCGTTACATGGTGGAAGGTCTAATTGTTTCTCTGATACTGCTTCCCTTCAGACAGATGACATTTCTTCAGCATTTCTTGGGGAGCAGCAGAATGATGTGAACCCTCTTAGTTTTATTCGAAAGCTTCCTTGTCTTTATTTACCCTCTTGGACACAGAACTGTGTTTCAGTGATCATTTCTGTAGCCTTGGCCCTGTGGAGATTTTTCTCCTTGGCATCTGAACATCATGCTTCCAGGTGAGACGTCGACAGTGGTCCGCGCTGTTGAACTTTACAGCCCGTGTTGTCCCTGGCTGCTCTAGGTCTTGCATTATCTTTGCTCTCAGTGGTTTGATTGTGATGTGTGCAGAGGCCTTATCTTCATATCTACCTTGTCACTGGTCCAGCGATTTTAATGTGAATTTGTCTTTCACCTTTTGCTTTCGTTTCTTCACATTTTCTGCCCCACTGTCTTCTCTTCCCTGATTAATGTTGTCACCCTAATGTGTCTAATATATTTACTTGGAGCCAGAAATATATCATTTTTTTTCATTTACTTTTTCTTACAACACCCCCACTTGCTACTAAAATCATCTTAGAATTTTAAATTTATTTTTAACTCTAGAATTTCTTTTCATTGTTGTTACTGGATTTTTGTTTGTTTGCTTGTATGCTTTGTTTTTTGTGACAGGTTCTCACTATGTACCCTTGGCCAGCATGGAACTCAATATGTAGATCAGGCTGGCCTTAAACTATTGTCAATCCTCTTTCTAAAAAATATAGAGCAAGAAATATTAAAATTTGAGAAGTATACTGTGTTATATTTAAAGGAAAGCTTATTAGACTTATAGATATCCCAGCAGAAATTCTGGAAGCCAACGTGGACCTTAATGATGAATTTCGAGTTCTGGAAGAAAATGACTTTCAACCAAAATTATTACACACAGCAGGGTTTTTTTCTTTGGAAAGGAGACGTGAAGACCCTCAAAGATAAGCATAAACTCAGGAATTCATCCATTCACCCAGCATAGGGAAGATGACAAGGGAATCCCACACCCAGAAGAGGAAGAGAGAACAACAGAAACATAAGGACATTCTGTATTTCCACGTCTTTCCTAAGATTGTGGAATTGTCTGCTAATACATCATTAAATCAATTTTCTGTATCTTTGACTTGTACCTCTTTTCCTTCTGTTATACTGATGGGGCAGATATTTGCTGCTTAGTTAGTCGTTTTTCCATTACTGTAGCAAAATACTTGAGGATAAGATACTTAAGAGAGAAAGGTTTACTTGGGGTGGTGTTTCAGAGGCCTTGGTCCATCTGCTGCTTTGGTGTTTGTGGGCCAGTGGTGAAACATTACATCATGGTGGAAGGGCATGGCAGAGCAGAGCTGCTCACCTATGGTGACCAAGAGGCTCTCAAATTAAGGGAGAGACAGAGAGAGGCCAGGGGAAGGGGCTCACCTTGCCTGATTAATCTGCTGAGGTCAGCATACTTGGAACATTCGGCTGGGGAACCTTCCCAGTGGGCACTTCTTACTGAGGCTGTAGTAACCTCTAAAGCTGCCCAGAACTCTCATGGGCCCTCGTCATTCTTTCTTGGGTCTGTTTGTTTGCTTCTTTGTTTCTGTCTAAACATATTATATTGGAAGACATTATTTGAAGCTCCAATATTATTTCTTCTACTTGATCTGGTCTGTCGAGGTTTTCAGCTGATTTTTAAAAATCTAACTTACTAAGCTTTTCAGTACATGACTTTTCGTTTTTTTGTTTGGTTTTTGCTTTTGGTTTGTTTTTTCAAAATCTGTCTTAGCTGGTACAGTGGTGGCACACACCTTTAATCCCAGCATGAGGTGAATGAAAGAGAGAGAGAGAGAGAGAGAGAAACAGAGAAACAGAGAGAGAAACAGAGAGGAAGGAAGGAAGGAAGGAAGGAAGGAAGGAAGGAAGGAAGGAAGGAAGGAAGGAAGGAAGGAAGAAAAAGGAAAAATGACTTCTCCTAAAGTTAATGGAGGAGAAAGTCTATTATATAAATATGTGGGAGAACAGAGCCAGAGGCAGGGACATCTGGGAGAGCACAGAGTGAACATGACCCTGAGCTGGGCCATGTGGGGAAAAGGGGAAGGAAAGGGAGAGGAGTAGGGAATTAAGGGCTGCAGCTGGGAGGCCAAAGTCACAAAGGGAGCAGGCAACCAAAATGGCTGGATTATATGGAGAAGGGCAGCCCTGGCCCCAGGCTGGAGCATTCAGGGTAGGGGGGAGGGTATGACAGCCTGTAACTCGTAGGGACTGAGGGATTGGAGGGAGAACCTGGCAGCCAGGTCCACTATGGTATTTGTCGAAAGTTTGAAACCTGGTGGTTTGTTGGCAGGTGGATCTCTGAATTCTAGGCCAACCCAGTCTACAGAATGAGTTCCAGGACAGCCAAGGCTACACAGAGAAACCCCGTGGAGACAAAAACAAAACAAACAACAAAACAAAACAAAAAAAAACAAAACTGCTCATCACTAAACTTCTCATACATTTTCTGAATTGCTTTCTCTTGTCAATTTGATTGTTTATATTTATTTTCAGAGACATTTTTATTGAACTTTTTGAAAAAAAAAAAAACCCATACATTTGAATTCTGTATCATTCACTTCAGTATCTGTGGAATCTGTTACTCTAGAGTTATGAACTTTATGAAGTATCATTATTTATTTTTTATATTCATTGTGTTTATGCTGATATACCTCTGTTGGGATGACTACTTTTCCATATCCATGTAAGGTCTTAGCAAGGGGGTTCTCTCAATGAGGCCTCTTGGCGTGTGTCTAATCTCTCTGGCTTCTTCAGTTGTAAACAGTAGATTTTAACACAACATGTACTGTATCACAAGCCACTTTCACTGTATGTCTTGCAAGAGTATTGTGTGGCAATGCATGTAGGTGTGGTAGGCAGCAGAGCATGTGTGCTGATCCTTAGTGGTCACAGTAGAGTTGGAGGTTTCCGCTCACACTTTGGATCCTGTCTCTGTAACTCAGAAACAGTTCTGATATTGGCTGCTCAAAAGGTAGTGAAGGTAAATCCGCTGTTTAGATTCTGGCGCAGTTTGTAGTGTTACAGGAATTGATGCTGACCAGGATTACAGACCCCCCCCCCTCTTTGGCAGTCGTATTCAGTCTTCTCATCAATGTATGATCTGACAAGGGCTGGGCAAGCCACTGCAGAGAGCCCCTGTAGCCGTGCCATCCACAGCACGTGTGTTATTTCTCTTTACTGATACTATAGAGATAGTGGATTGTCCAGGAGTAGGATGCCAGGTGAGTATCATCCCCATCCCATCCCGAACCCCTGCTGTAGAGACTTGAAGCTAGACTATGCTGGGGGATTTGTCTCAGGCACATGCTGTGTGGCATTCTGGTCAACAGTGGATTGCCTGTGTAAATGTAGCTGCGTAAGATTACACATCACAAATGACACCATAGTTAG